CTGGGTAGATAGAGATTATTTCATTATGAATTTTCGCCATCCTGTTAGAATTTTCTGCAACAAATAGGGCTTTTTTAAATTTCATTTGGCATACATCTATGAATGCTTTCACTTCAGACATTGTGCTAAATCTCTTAATGCAGAGGCGTTAAGTTACGTGGTAATGAGCAATATATATAGGTGGGCACAGGTTTTGGGGGAGCAAAAATGAGGGATAGGTATCATATTCATGGACGGTGTGGAAAGTGCCAGGATCTGGGAAGGTTTTCTGGAGCAGGCAGCACTTAAACTGGTTTTGAAGAATGAGTAAGAATTGGGTGGTAACAAGGATAAGTTTTAAATGAGGTAAGGATGGAGAGAATGTTAAGAAGCCATTGCTGAAGTACCACCTATGTAATATTCTTGTGAAAAACTTTAACCTGAATTAGATCAAGCTTCTATATCTAACTAGTAATTTACTGCAAATATAGGGTATGGAGCATGGTTAAATAACATCAAGGGGATATAGTTAGCAAAATCCAATATGTGAGAAAACTTGTTTTTTCCCCCAACAAATAAGAAAGGAAGAGGGAGAAATCTATAGATGAAGAAAAACTTAAGAGGCACATCAATGAAAATGCAATGTGTTTTCCCTGTTAGACTCTGATTTGAATAAATTAATCTTAAAACACTTAATAAGACAGTTGGGAAAACTTGAGCATTGATTGGATAGTTTATGATATTAAGGAATTAAAAAAAATGTAGGTGTGGTAATGGTATTGTGCTTCTATATATCTATATATATGATGGAATTAGATGATGCTCAGAATTGGCTTCAGAGAGATCCAGTATTAGCTGAGTGCTATGTGTATGGAGGAGGGGCATTTACTTGTTGGTACATTTTGAAACTAGGTGCTGGGGTACATACAGCTTATTATACTATTCTTTCTACCTTTGAGTGTGTTTGAACTTTTCTATGTTTTTAAAAAGCTGTTGCTATACTCCAGACAATAATTATTAAGGACCTGAAATAAAAAATACTGGTTGTAGTGATGGAACAAAAAGGATAGATTTGAGGAATAAGTTACTTGATAATTAGTAATACCTAGATGTTTGGGTTGGAGGGACAGGAGTCTAAATTTATGGCTTCAGACCTGAGTACTGTTACCTAAGCTAGGGAAAATGGAAGCAATATACTTTGAGGGTTGGAACAGGGTGATGGATGATATTGGAAGTTTGCTTTTGGACATACTGAGTTTAAGAATCTGGATAGAGGTGCATAATTGGTAGCTTAGAAGAAGTCAGAGCTAGATATGGATCAGTATGTACAGTAGGTGATAATAACTTTAAGAAAGAATGAAATTAGCCAGGGAGAATATGTAAAAGGAAAGGAGTGTCCCTGAGAGGGACAGAGAAAGAGGAGCCACTTAGGATTCTGAGGAGAAGGTCAGAGAGTAGGATTTTTAAGAAAATTAAGAAGATAAGTTTTCAGAAGAGTATGAAAACTATGACAAATCCAGTAGGAAGGTCAAAAAGGATTAGAACTTGTTTAGTTCCTCTTGATTATGAACATTAATAACCTTTGAGGAGCTGGTGTGGTGTGTGGTGTGTATATGTGTGTGTTGAGAATGCTTTGTGAGCAAACTATTGATATCCTGCATTTATCAAGTCCCTTTAGAGTAGATTAATAGAGACTGTAAGTCAAATTAAATTTGTGTTGATTAGCTAGAGAGTTATGATTTAAAAGCAAAAGAGCTTTGGCCCTGACCACATTGGCTCGGTTGGTTGGAGTGTTGTCTTATGCGCAGAAAGGTTGCCAGGTTCAATTCCTGGTTAAGGCACAGGCCTACATTGTGGATTCATTCTTGGTAGGCGTGCATATGGGAGGCAACCCTAATGTTTCACTCATAGGTTGAATGTTTCTATCTCCCTCTCTTTACTTTAGTTCTCAATGAAAATTTTGTCAATTTGCACAAAAAAAATAGTGAAACTGAAGCTGCCATAGTTCTTATTTTTGGAATTGTGAAACCTGCTGTTGTGCTGATACTCCAGGGTAAATGCAAACAGTCTTAGCAGTAGGCAAAGATTATGTTTCCCTTTTTTAAAGATTGTTTTTTTTAGAATTTTGTTTTAAAATTTGTTTTTCTTTAGCTCCTTTTTTTGGTGTTAATCCTCACCTGAGGATATTTTTCTATTGATTTTTTTAGAGAAAGTGGAAGGGGTGGAAGGAGGGAGAGAGAGAGAAACATTGATGTGAGAGAGACACATAGATTGGTTGCCTCCCACTTGTGCTCTGACTGGGATCGAGCCTGCAACTGAAGTATATGCCAGAATCGAACCCAGGACGCTTCAGTCCATAGACTGAGGCTCTATGCACTGAGCCAAACCAGTTAGGGCAGCTCCTTTTATTCCAAAGGGCAGATGAGATAGAAATGGATATGGAATTGCTGTGAAGAAGTTGGAATGTGATGTGTTACTGTTACTTCCACTATATGACCAACAGTGTCTGTGTTAGGATTGAAATATTGTGTCTCTCCGAACACTCTTAAACAGCAAAGAGAGAAGTTTTGGCAGGAAGGAAATAGCCCTCTGCCCTTCTAAACCATCTTATGTGCAGTAATCTTAGTATCTTCTATCTATCTATCTATCTATCTATCTATCTATCTATCTATCTATCTATATATATAAAAGGCTAATATGCAAGGTGTCTTCTTGGAAGTTCAACTGGGAGAATGGGAGTTCGATCGTTCACTATGACATGTCCTGACCACCAGGGGGCAGCATGGCGGAGGCAGAGCACAGAGGAGCAAGGGAAGGGTGTGGGAGGGGGGGAGTCACATGGTGACAGTGCTCTGGGACGTGGGGCCTGATCGGCCCTGATCACTGGTCAGGCCTAGGGACCTACCTGTGCATGAGTTTCGTGCACTGGGCCTCTGCTTTGTCTATATTTTCATGTAAGCACATAGCTGTGAGAACTTGTTTCATTTGAAAAACCCTCACACAGCAGATTTTACAGCCCACATAGGGACAAAGGGATGACTCAACCTTTTAGGGATGCTTTTCCTTTAGTTCCTAACCTCTGACCAGACTATCTGTGTAGAATGAGGGTTGAAATTTATCCATTTTTCATAAGACAATTTGTGTGCTTGTTTGCCAGAAGGGGCCAGAGGGAATGATTCTGTCTTTCCAGAGAAGCATTTAGCCCACATTGGCTGCCACTCTGTTGCCTGTTGAGTCATTCCCACAGTTCTATATAGAGCTTTTCTTTCAAACATGATGTTCTTGGAGTGAGAAAGAAAGGAAGTTTTTTTATCTCTGCCATAGAATCCCCCCCCCACCACCACCCACAATTTGCATTGCTTTTCTTTTCTAATAACAAAATATTGCCTTCAGTCATTCTAAAAGTTTTCTCTTTTAAAGTGTCTTGGTACTTTAATTTATCATTTGTTTGACTATGTGAGCATTTAGGCATTCACTAGACTGAGTTTGCAGCAGTAGGCTCTCAAAATACAGGCTGATACTTTACCAGAAAGATTGAGGAATTCTAGGTAAACATACTAAACATGGATTTCTAGAAACATTTTAAAAATTTATTTTAGAGAAAGAAGCGGGGGGGGGGGGGGGGGAGAAGGGGGAAGGAGGGAGGGAGAGAGAGAGAATAAAAACATCAGTTTGTTTTTCCATTGAATTCATTGGTTGATTCTTGTATTTGCCCTGACTGGGGATTAAACCTGCAATGTTGGCATACTGGGACCATGCTCTAACCAACTGAACTTCCTGGCCAGGGCCTAAACATGGATTTCTAGTTTTGAGTTATTTAAAACTTAATTAAATATGGTAAAAGCATCTGACTATTCTTATTGAATATCTTTTAGTAAAAAGTACTATGAAGGGAGTGAATGAGCTTTTAATATTGGATAATTGGAAATTGCTATAATTTAGAAGGATTTCAGTTTGTTTTTTTACAATGGAAGGTAAAATGCCCATGTTCGTTCTTATTCAGAAGGTCCTGCTTTGTGCTAGTAGAAGAAGAATTGAGGTTTCTTTATCAGAAAAAGGAAATTCTTATGTATTAAAACTGCCTTCTTAAATGTTCCATATATACCGCAAGACCATAAAGTATTTTAGAAAAGTCAAATAACATCAGTAAGCTGTCTAGTCACAGATCACATTTCTCACATAGGAACAAGTTAGAGACTCTTCTAGGGGATTGGCAGATCTGAAAGACAGATTACAGCTTTGGAATGAATTCAGGTGACTTAAAGAAATTTAAATTTTATTGTTGAAAGTATGTCCTCTCAGATGACTTTTTGAAACATATTTTAATTGGAGTGGGGGTGGAGAAATAGTTGAGCTTCTGAAGTTAAATATTCAAGTTCCTTAGCCTGCTATCTATAAATATCACAGATGAAAAAGCCATTGGAACCATTTTTCAAAAAATGAATTCGCCATACATGCATTTTTATATGTATGTGTATATATATGTTTCTATATACCTAACCCTCACCCTCATCTCCTATCAGTGGGTCAGTAATTGGGCTGTCTCTTTCACAAGACTGAGGGTTTCTGTTTAATCTGTTGCTCTAAATTGCATAGAAGCAAAGTCTCTTATACTAAGATTTTGAATAAAACCTCAACTTCCCTTTTTAAAAAGAGAGCGGGGAAAAGCAGTTCATTGGTTTTCTGAAGATCTCTTTCTGTATTTCTCTCTCCTCCCCCAGAGACAAATAGCAAGGGGAGGAGCTCACTCACTGTTCTAACCACACTTCATATGTCTTAGCTTGAGAGCTTTCTTGGTTTCCTGTCGGCAGTAATTCAACTCTGTGTCATCTTAACTTGCCTGAAGGGTGGATAAACTGGTAACTGCACTGAGAAGGGGAGTTCTCACAGTCTGCTTTGAGCATCAGACATGAGATTGAATTTATGAAAGCTTCGGTAGCCTCTGAAAACAACATCTTTCTTCTGCGACTTTGAATTTTTTCATTATATTTGTGGACTGTTGTTTTTGAGAAGAATTTGTCATGACTCTACTGGAACCTGAGATGTTAATGATGGCTGTGCAGTCCGGTAATTTCCCATATTTCCTGCAAATCCTATTTGCCATAGGTTTCTTAAAAAAGGTTGGGAATATTTGTGCTAGGATTGGGTGGAGATGGGGAGGAAGATAGGGATTAAGGTTAATGTTCCAGTAAATTATATGTGTTTTCAGATTTTTATTACAAAAAATGAATTATTTTTCTAATTACAGATTTGATTATTCAAACATAGCTTTGAATTAGATGTTTACTGACCTTAAAACTGTTTAGAGAGGAGACTTAGTGGGGGGGAAAGAACTATTTTCCTTTAATCAATTATTTTATCATCTGTGGCACTGCTTTTAATGTAAGATAATTAACTTGTTTTTGTTGTTTTATACATTATTGTCTTCAGGCAATAATCTATACTCTATTTTTATGTCTTTATGTGAAAGCATATTTAAAATTTTTTTCCTAGCTCTTCTTTCTCTCTTGTGGTATAACCTTCATTCTATTTTGTGTTTTGTGTTTTTGGGAATGCTCTTGATAACACATAGGATTAGGACTCTTAGGTTTTAGAGATGGGAAAGTTTGAGCAAGGAAAGAAAACAAAATTTTTTTTTGAAATTCTCTAAAAACAGTCTCTCCAACTCAAAAAAGTATCTTAGGACATTTTAAATTCCAGTTTGTTTTTAATGGTTTGTTTTACTTTTAGTGTTTTTAAACTTATAAGTTAGACATCTAAAAATAGGGAATGTTCTTTGTTATTTTTAGACTTCTGCTAAAATGTAGTCTAGTGTTTTCCTGTTTTACAGCATAGCTCGATAGATTCGTACAAGTGGCATTTGAGGATCTCTTCCCATCCACTGGCCTTCACTCAAAGGAGAATGAGACTCCTTGGTTCTGGAAGATACTGTCTCTGGCAGAATTGGTCTCACTGTTTTCCTTGGGGAGTGATTAGATAGTATGTTGAAAGACACAGATATCCATCTGAAGATAGGATCAGATGCTATCAGGCTAAGCTTATGGACAGGTAAGGGGCAAAGAGAAAAGACATTGCTATTCTTTTTTTTTTTTTTTTTTTACAATGAAGGCTGTGATGAGACATTTGAGTTTTTCTGTTTATAATATGCTATATGTTCCAGGTTGCCTTTCCTTTTCCTCCCCCAAATCTGTTGAGCTCTATGTTCTAAACAAGATAATGTGCTTATCTGAATGTTTCCCATCTGTCTTGGATGAAATAGCTCCCAGTTACACTGACTCAATTATTTTTTCCTCTCTGTATTCAAGTTCTCTGCTGTCTGCGAGCAAGTGCATGGTTCATCTGCGGGAGTAGGTGTTAGCATTTGAACTCTCTCTCCCTTCTTTGATCATCTTTTGCTTACAGATCACCTCAGTCTAGTCACTTTTTAAAATAAAGGTTAAAAGATTGTTTGCTTTCTCCTAAGGGGTCTCACTCTTCCCAGCTGGATAAGGGAAAGGGATTTACTTGTTTTCTTGTCTTGCCTAAGAGCTGTTTTTCCTATGACATATGCTGGGCAGAGCTAGCCACCCATCTGTTGGACCAATTAACTACTTCATAAAACTTTCAAAGGATAATAGTATGTAAGACAAGTATAGATGAAATTGACAAGGGTGTTGGAAACAGGTAGAATGAAGGTCTGCAGAGAACAGCATGTATGTGGACCTCTTTCTTTTGCCTGTAAAGAGAAACGGTGTAAAGAGAAACGGTATAGGAAGGAGTAATAGGAAACCTATTTCTATGATAGTTGTGATTCCTAAATGCTCAAAAATTTTAATAATGTGAAATTGTTACTGTTTTATTCTGAAGCTCTACCCTTCAGAAGAAGTTATGAAATATAATAGTAATCTGACAACTATATTTATAATGGAAAGTGAAAAAAGCATCTGTTATGAAGCCTTAATAAGCCAAAAGCCAACTTTTTTTTTTTTTTAAGTCAACTTTTAGACTGCGTGAGCCATAGGTTTTCTAGCAGTAAAATATTTGGGACCTCCATTAATATATACTTTTTAGGTGAAACTACTGTTTAATAAGATTTTAAAGTAGTTAAACCTCTTTAAGACAAAATTCAAGAAGCAAAAGTTTTTACCCTACATTAAACTTTAGGATACTGAATACTATATAGCAGAGTTCCAGGGTTCATTGTGTACTTACTAACAGTTATCTTTTTTTTTTTTTTTTTTAAATATATTTTATTGATTTTTACAGAGAGGAAGAGAGAATGATAGAGAGTTAGAAACATTGAAGAGAGAGAAACATCGATCAGCTGCCTCCTGCACACCCCCCACTGGGGATGTGCCCGCAACCAAGGTACATGCCCTTGACCGGAATCGAACCCAGGACCCTTCAGTCCGCAGGCCGACACTCTATCCACTGAGTCAAACCCGATTCGGCTGACAGTTATCTTTTAGTATTTGGAGGTTGGGGATTTTGGTGAGGCATATTTGCACAGAAAGACTTTCAACTTGCTCACTGGTGGTGGTTTCTTCCTGACTGTTTGAGATACAGTTCACATACTGCCGTTCTATGAAACCTCTCTCATAGAGTCAGCCTTTCCTCCTATTAGTTCCCTAGTACCATCTTTTTGCCTCCCTAGTTAAACTATTGACTTCTCAAAGGCAATATGTTAATCTATATACTGGCTCTTGACACTGGCCCATGTAGACCTTTAGAAAAAAATTTTTTTTAAATGAATGAAAATGGTTCGGCATACTTCCCCTAATAGGCATAAGCCTTTTAAGATCAGGAATTTATTGAAGTGTTTTGGGATCTGTTTCTGCATTAAGGAATAAATTCATTTCTAACCACCATCCTGTATCTCAGCCAATCCTCGTCCAAAGCAGGCGCTGTTGAAAGCAGGACTTTCAAAATTGAGATTCTTCTCCATCTCAAGATGTGCAGTGTGTCCTGACTGTCTTCCTATGAAGGCAGGGTACACTGCTAAATCTAAGTATTCTGATCAAGTCACAGTTACAGGATTAAAGCATCTATTACCATTCTGGAAACCTATCTAAATCCTTGTGATTAGAAAACTGATGATCTGAGATGGATATTTGGGATTTCTGAAGCTAACATTAAGGAAATATTGGGACACAGTACTAAGTCTCATGTATTTTAGAACAGAGAAGTTCTGGGATTCAACTCTTCTCAGCTAATATGTAAGGCTTTGACCAGGCAGGCCTTATCCCAGCATTCAACCAGTGCAGTCTTATTAATTTACTAGAGTCCTAGTACATGATATTTGTGTACTGGAGGGATGAAAGGGAGGTGTCTCAGTCTGACCTGCACCCTCTTGCAGTGTGGGACCCCCTGAGGGGTTCTTAGCACTGCCTGGTAGGCAAGAGAGGCTCCTGCCACCGCCGCTGTGTTCACTAGCCGTGAGCCCGGCTTCTGGCTGAGTGGCATTCCCCCTATGGGAGTGCACTGACCACCAGGATGCAGCCTGTGTTGAGCATCTGTCCCCTGGTGATCAGTGTGTGTCATAGCTACCGGTCATTCTGCCATTCAGTCAATTTGTATATTAGCCTTTTATTATATAGGATAACTCTGGTAGTGAGACAAAGTTCCCTTGTAGAGAAAAGTATTGAAGCAGTTCCCTAGGTATGCTTTGGTCCCTTACATACACCTGATCTTGATGAGGCACAGTCAGGGAGTCAGTTTGTTCTTTCTCTTTTGTGCACATATGTGCACACATCCACCCACTCATGCACTGCACCCAGACATACACACTACCCACACCCTACCCTCCAACCCCATGCTTATTCTATGTATAGAATATCTCTAGAAGTAACTACGGTAGTAGCAGTGACTACTTCATGGGATTGGAATAGAAAAGAATTTTTTCCCCACAAATCAATTGAGTTCTCTTTTAGGTTTATTATGATTATGGAACACCCTGTAAATGTGAAAGAATAGAGTCCAACAATATACACAGTGCATGAACCCATGGACAACCTAAGAAAGGGTACAATATACACTGAAATCTCTAAATGTCCTCTTTGATTTATCCCTTAGAAACAGTTTTGTTTGCTTAAAATTTTTTTTTCATCTTTATTGTTGAAAGTATTACGTATGTCTCTTTTTTTCCCTATTAACCCCCCCTACCGTGATCCCCCTCCCTAGGAATTGACCACACTATTGTCTGTATCCATGGGTTTTACATATATTCACATAAGTTCTTTGGTTAATCCCCCATCCCCCTGTTTTGGTTGAGCATTGACCTATGAACTAGGAAGTCATGGTTTAATTACCAGTTGGGGCACAATCCCCATTGTGGGTGTGCAGAAAGTGGCTGATCAATGACTCTTATCATTAATGTCTCTCTCTCTTTCTCTCTCCCTTCCTCTCTCCTTCTCCCCTCTCTCTCCCTCCATCTCTAAAATAAATAAAAACATGTTTAAAAAAAAAAAAACACACAAAAGAACAGTGCCTGGGTGTCCACTTCTTGCCCCTAGGAACTGGAGTCAGATGCTACAGGCCCTATAGTTCTATAGTAGACTTCCATCTTGCCCTGTGTTCTCTGGCCTGGGTGATGATCTCATACCTTGATGATGATCTCAGAAGACAGGTAGGCAGACAGACAGCTGTTGTCATCAGTGTTCTGGATTACATCTTACTCCCCTTTCTCTGACTCATTGATTTATTATATCTGGGATCCCCTTAAGTTAGGATCCAGATCAAAGGAATCTGAATTCATCTGTCTGTCTCTTTTTTTCCTCCCTCTTGTTTCCTTTTGGATAAGGCAAGCTGTCAAGACCATGAACCACAGTTTTAGTTTTATTAGAACAGTGCCAAATTAAATAAAGATGAGTCTCCTACTTTTGTGGGTGTGTTTTTTGTTTTTGTTTTTTTTAGATTCATTTTTATGATTACCACATGCATTATTTTTTAAAAGGATTTTCTGTATAATAACAAAGAAAAAAATACTAAAAAAAAAACAACCTTCAACAACAAAAATCAGTTTTCTCTGTCTTGCTCTCAACAAATTAAAGGGAAGTATCTGGCTGAGCTCATGGTGTCAGGGGTCTTGG